CCTTAGAAATGCAGATTACAATGAATGATTTTAATCGTCTTACAATTTGCGTCTTCGAGGTTCCTACAACTTCAAAACTCACTACCTCTGAATTTTGGTACACGACCCTGGATAGCCGCTAAGAGACCCTCGGTTCTTAACCTGCTGAGTCCATTTCCCTCAGGGTAAATCGACCATAGCGTGAAGCTTATCTTTACGAACTCCTTACGATATGATGGATCTTAGGGAAGAAATGTTTTGAGGATGGAACTAGCTCAGGGATCATATCCAGTGGCGGATTTTACAGTTGCTGGATCTTCGGGGTCTGACAGAATTTTATTTAATCCTCTGAAGCCGAATTTCGTGTGAATAACATATAAGCATTCAGTTCGTACCGCAAAGAAGTGGTTTGCCGTTGCCTTCTTCTGTGTGTGAATGGAGTAATTGTTGGGATGCCACGGAGAAACCGGGGAAGCCCCCGGAGGAAAACTCCGTGTTGCCTAGACCACGGCCTTGCCCAACACAAGTTATAAATTCGGGCACCGCCGGGAATCGAACCCGAGACCCCAGGATTACAAGGCCAGCGTGGCTACATGAGAAAAATTAGAATTTACATGGTAAGAAAATTAATTATTTAAAGCCTACATCATTCTCCTTACAGATGAATTACCGACTGGCGCAAACGGATTAGTGAAGTGATTAAAAGTATTAAAACGTGTTCATAAAATATGCGACATAGATCACTCATGCACGATCCGCCTTGAACCAGTCGCGGAAACTTCAAAAGCCGGAGTACATTTCGCAAGTCAACCTTTGCGGGTAATTTGCTGTGATTTGTTGCTCGCACAAAATCCATAAGTCTCCGCTTCTCATCCCAGCACGGAACTAATGACGTAAAAAAATCCACGTCCGCTACCATAGTTTGTTGTAGTGCTTATATATCGACGCTGTATGAAATATATAAATCATCTGCGGTTACGTGAAGAATTGTGATAATTAACGGTAACAACGAGTTCTAAGTTCATCTGCCGTTACCGCAATATATAATCATTTTACAACGACGTATCACGCGGTCATGTATAAACGTGATTATGAATTCCGAATCCAGAGGAAAGTTGAAAAAAAAATGGATCACAGATGAGAACTCAGGTTCTCACGGCATCAAGTATGAACATGAGTCTTGCAGGACGTTGCGCCGTTTCGGAGGTGATTTCTGCCTCCATCATCAGGACGATCTGAAAGACAGTCGACAAGCGGACGGACTGACAGACGCAGTTTTCCTTTCTGTGTTCAGTTTAATTTATCGTGCTGAGAATAAATAATAACAACACTAAATCGATTAAACAACACAGTCGATCTGTACCTCGAATTTCCATTCCTGTGTTTCTGTAATTTCTCGTCTAAGATCTTGGAAAGCGAGAAGGGGGGGGGTGCAATTTGTGTTTCATCGTGACTCCTTGAGGGGACAAACAAGGAATGTTGTTTCTCTTCAAATCCTCGACAGGGAAAAAAAAAAGAGGTTACAGTGAGAATTCCTGCATCAAGCCGACCGTAAGTGTCCATTACCACGCTCGACTTGGTAACCTTAGAAATGCAGATTACAATGAATGATTTTAATCGTCTTACAATTTGCGTCTTCGAGGTTCCTACAACTTCAAAACTCACTACCTCTGAATTTTGGTACACGACCCTGGATAGCCGCTAAGAGACCCTCGGTTCTTAACCTGCTGAGTCCATTTCCCTCAGGGTAAATCGACCATAGCGTGAAGCTTATCTTTACGAACTCCTTACGATATGATGGATCTTAGGGAAGAAATGTTTTGAGGATGGAACTAGCTCAGGGATCATATCCAGTGGCGGATTTTACAGTTGCTGGATCTTCGGGGTCTGACAGAATTTTATTTAATCCTCTGAAGCCGAATTTCGTGTGAATAACATATAAGCATTCAGTTCGTACCGCAAAGAAAACTATGCAATGTGATCTGTGGTATGACGTTTGAAACACTAAATGTTGGACACAACAGACGAATCTAAAAGTTCTCAAATATTCACTGAAGATAAACGGCAATTTCCTGCTTTAAAACTCCTGACACAAGATGCCTGTCCGTGGATCTACTCTGCCTAGAGGGACTGAAGAAACCCACGACTCAGGTACCGGCCCGCTCATTGATGGGCGGGGGAACAAAACGTGACATATTTCATACAAAGGGTCGGGTTACAATGTACAGCGGGAGTCAACGCCCCCTCACGTGAGTTCGTGCATCAATGGACTAAGTCGCGACCTCGGATATTGCAGGGTGTTCAGAAAAATCTGTTCACTGGAGCAGTGTTCCTCAAAGAAGATTGAAATGTTCCGTGGTGTTATTTAAACAATATCAACTGCCCCTCGTTTAAATTACTCAAATTATAAGAACAATACAAATTTAAAATTATGAAATTCACTACAATTCAGAGCCCGGCTGTTTCCGTCTTCACTAAGAACTAAAGATGACACGCGGTCCATAAAACCTTTTCTGACAAAACGAATCTAGGCTGACAGAATAATGTTCATTTATTCGTCTTGCTCAGATTATATATCATCGAATGAGAGCAAGATAAGTGACTAAACGTGTTGTCCCGGAACTTTGGGGGGGGGGGCTGAGGAAAACTACGAAAGCCAGTCTCCGGGCCGAGTTTTGAACCCGGGACCTCTCGAATAAGAAACAGGTCGGTCACTTGTTTAATTATCTCAACAACATATAGGCTACAGATGAAGAAACTTACGTAATGGCACGTCAGAGAATAGAACCGAGCTAAATGAAATTCGATAGCCACAGGTGAACGAGTTTTGCCAAGGCAGTTCGTGCTTTGTCAGTGCCCAACCCCCACAGGAAGTGACGTGGTGTGGGGGAACCATAACAGAGCATCCTGCTTCCGCCTCGAAAACAAAGGAATGTCGAAGAAACAAACCGAAACGCTGAGAACTCTTACTGGAAACTCAACCACGACCACCTGAAGGAATACAAGTCTTCGGGACATGATTTAAAGACTGAAACATTTCCATAATCCCGATGACAGAGGCTGCATATACATGATTTGCGTACGCACACTATTCGAAACTCAACTTGTTTTTATTCAGTGCCTCCGTAAAAATTACGTGTATGTCTTTAAATATGCCATGATCAATCACGTTAAAACCCTTATCTGTGTACTATTCATAATCATCTTCCCATCTCTTTGGCCATTTAAGATCAAAAGGCTTCGTCAAATAGAAAAATCACGTACAGTCAACATAAATTTTTACGAAGTCTACATAACCAGAGGTAACCAGATTCAAGGCACTAAGATTATTTTTTCAGTGCACTAAATAAACTTTTTGAATTTGAACACGTCCAAAACTTCACGCAAACATATTCCGGCTGTCATACATTCTTAATACATTAAATTTTGCTTCGTATTCTGAATGCGGGAACAATTTTTCGTTTGTCTCAGTGACTTTCAGTTTATGAACAAGAACTCTGTTTCTGTCAGACGCACAAGCTGGAGCTTTCATCCGCTGCTTCTCAAGGTCCGGCCAGTTGATGACGCATCTTATAAAACCTTCCGCGTCGCCTTATAAAGAACCCATAAGGACCAAGGCAAATTTCAGAAATACACATGCGCCATAAGGTGATGTAATGTACCACAAACGAGCAGTCTACACTTCGACTGGACCTCATACCGACAATTTTTTGCAACGACCAGCGAAGCTGGACGCTTATTGATAATAAATACGATTAAAAGTTAAATCAAAATCGGAATTTAGCGTCGAAATTGCAATTATTTCACATTAATACGTAGGCAGTTGTCACTTAGCCTAATCACAACGCAATGAAATCGCTGCATATGAATATACAAAGACTACAAAAAAAACTGCCCGTCAATAATGACGGGAAAACCTATAAACAAAGCAAACCAGCACACAAAAATCACTTATTTTGCTTAATTGAATAATACAATATAATTTAACGTACTGCAATCCGAAATACGTTCTTACATCGAGGTTATAATAATTCGACACAGTGGACATCCATGGCAACGGTTATAATATTATCCCATAAAGCCAAAAAAATACGCAAATGGTCACAAACAAACCAACGCTGCTTAATCTATAAATAGATCAACAAAGCTTCAGCAGTGTTACAGCGGGGAAATTCGATAAATACTTATATTTCTTACAAATCAGACCGATTATTCGACACCTAGGGCAGTTTTTACGTTTATGACGTACGTTCTCTCAAACAAACAATTATGTTTCTTGAGTCGTTCTTCTACTGTGCTTATTTCCCGAGCTACATGAACAGCCCTCACTGGGACTCAAACTCAAGACAATTCTTCGGAGTTTTGACCTTCCTCAGATCTCTTCAAGGTCTCAACAAATGACATGCCATGTTTGATGTAAAACGGTGCATCCGTTCTCGAGCTATAAGCGAACGTATACATACACACACGCGCAATTTAAATTTTATATAAAACACGTAAAATAATTGCATATAAATTTGTTAAATCGGCCCTCTTTTGCAATTAAAACATTTTCTCCGTGCTAAAAATATACTAACATGCATCTTCGTAACTCTAAATGAGTGCAGTTGCTATGGAGACTGACTGTGATGATTCCCAGCGGAATGCAGGTGATGCAATGTTGATTAACATAAACAAAGACATTTATTATTGTTGTTATTGTTATTAATATTATATTGCTGTATTTCTACCATTTTTGTGTCGTTATTCGTGAGGAAGATAAAGTTGCTGTCTCAGAAACGGTACTGTCCAACGAAGGCTTGGACTGGAAGTGCATTGAACCAAGAGATTCGAATGCGCGAACAAGACACGAACTCTCGATCGCAACGCAAACGACTGTTAACGAGAGTTATCAGACTTACCTGTTGTTACAAACTCCTTAGAATCCAGTTTTCCTCGACACCAACGAATTAAAGGTCGAAATTCTGCGTGAAGTGTTCACCGCGGAATCACGCATGATTCACCACTGATGAATGTTTTACCTTGCACTGTGCTGGTGTTGCTGCTTCCAGGAGGCTGGACCACTGAAGATGCCAAGAGACCTCGTGGGGGAAGTGGCGGAGCTGGACTGGTGGCTGCGAACCCCAGGGGAGTATCGGAATTGGAACTTGTTGTCTGCTGCAAGGACGTGACATTGGAGCGTCCGGCAGCGTCGTGGAAACTCTTCTGAGACAAAAACAAATGCAACGGGCCAAGAAATTACATGTTCATTACCACGTCCACAAAAACACTCTAAGCCAGTTGAATTACCCTTTTACTGCTGCACAAGAAGGACTCAGCTCCATGGCCTTAAAAGATTGAAATTAAGAACGCTCTCTAAATATTTATCTTCCACTTAACGCGACAAGCATTTGTATATGACAACAGGCCCCAATGACATTGCACAATATCACAATCCACATTTCGACCTCTGAGGAAACTTCAAATCTCATAGAATAAGATAAACAGTATTTTAGAAATTCTCTTTCACGTATCACGTACCAAACTTCTTAAGATTTATACTCCTTATGCGGACAGAGAGACAAACTTGTAAAAATTTAACATTATTAAGATGCCATAAGCCTATTACCATCCACAGCAAATACCACGGTCTATAAATCTGGAAGGAAAGATCACTCACCTCTTGAACACTGTTATTGAGTGGAGCCTGGTTTACGTTTACATTCTTAGTCTGCATTGTGGCATTACCGCTGAGACATTTGTCCTGCAATGAGAAATGAACGTCGTGAGAGGATAATTAACAGATTTCCCAGCCGACGATGAATCGGGGAGAAATTCACGCCCCAATCACTGGCCGCCCTGAGAACCTGAAATCTCTCAACCTTTAGACGTCTTCCATAACTGAAATGTCTCTGGAGTTGACCACGGCTCACCGAGGGCAACGTTGCCACGTCGACATATCAAGAGGAGTACGTTCCAGGCATGTAGACTGCTAGGTAATGTTAACGGCACTGTGCCTAAGAGCAGAGTGACGATGCAGTAACCCTCTTACCGGAAGAGTGCAAGACACGGAACAGTTGGGACTGTCCACTTTTCGTGTTCTGAATCTCGCTAGATTTGGAGCAATCTCTACTGAGGAAGACCACGGCAACATCGGTCACGGTACGTGGTCTTCGGACAGAGATTCCAGCCCGGAACGTATAAGGAGGCGATCACAACCTAACCTGATGGTATAACGCTAGAATATGAGGAAAACCACGGTACTTGGCCAAGAGTGGAAGCCACAACTATCATCCCATATGGAAGGCAGATGTACCTTCTCATCGTCCACCGCATATTTCACAGCGGGAGCGGAGACAGTGCCATCTGTGGTCGTTCCCGCGTTTACCGTTGTTATCTGACATGTGGCACGTGCTATTTCTTGTGCTGTTATAATTTACCCCCCTCCAAAAGCTCCTCTACCATCCAGGATGAGATTTCGGATCATGAACCAGGCGTTCGTAACTTTTCCTCGAGTCCTCAACATAGTAACAGCCTCAAAAACGAAATCTTGTTAAGATGGGATAAGGATTCTGAATAAATATCTTAAGGTGTCACATCGGAATGCACCTATAGGGGCAGAAATAATCACCAGGACTGTATTACCCATAAAAGGTTCGAACAGATAGCCACTGGAATATAAATTTAGCTCAGTTAGCCTACTCGGCAAAAACTTTTGGATCAAGTTTCACAAATTGTGGACCGAGGGACTTGAACTATCGAACCATGGGCATGTATAACTCTCACTAAAGGTATTATTGGCGGGTAGGGGAGAGGGAGGTGACTAGACATCGACGGTGTCAACAGTTTTCTGGACACACCTGTACTTCAGTGCACCGTTTAAGACACTTCCGCTATCTAGCGAGGAAAGATTTAAACACCTGGACTTTCCATTCAAACTCTCTAGACACTAGACACATCTGGTGGCGGGTAATGGTAGTTCAGTTATTACTTTTATAGCTGAAAAACCATTGATCAGATTTAAGAAAAATCTACGGTGAGTCGGGGTTAATAGTGACAAATTTTGGGTCAATTTTATTTCGTTTCTTATCTGTCCAATACAGTGGAATTAATTCAAGATGAAAGTTCAATTTCAATTTCATGATCCGGATTCCCCCACAACAATTATGATCTCCCCAACCATTTAAACTTCTATTAAAATCCAATCAGTAGTTCTGAAGACGAAATGTGCGACTGTACCAACTATTCGTTCATTTTGTCGACTTACAAGGAAGAACACAACCATTTCTATTTCCTCCTCCCCCCCCTCCCGCCCCCTTCAACGACATCCTCTCAACTGCACAGCTCGAATAAAGTTACTCCGACGACGCTGAACATAAATCTGGACAGCCGGTTACCCCAAATCAGGCCTTGCACTAACCTCCTAGGTTCTAGGTTCCTTCGAGGTTCTGTCCTAGACTATCACTAGAAAAAAATCCCACGAAATCTCTCGGTGACATTAGCAGGTGCCCCTGCAAAGTTTCGAACCGGGAACTATTTGTGACAACCTTCACGGCGTGAGGAGTTCAGTAAGAATACAGGCCTAACCACATTTCGTCACAAACCATTCGGTTAAGTCACGGGCGCGTTAATTTCAATTCTGAACGTGGAACATTTCATTGGAATGCCGCGACAAGCCTTCCTGTCACGCGTAATAAGCCACGTTTCACAACTACGAGCTTCAACTGTTTATTCATCTGTTCTTGGTTTCCCTGACAACGACTTCAATTGCCCAGATTCCATACCGTCGAAAAAGACAGTATGATCGGTGAATCAAAAATGAAAAGAACATGTCTCAATTTGAGGCACTGTCCCGCCATTTAAATGGAGTGACTGAGAAAAACCACGAACACGGTCAATGGATCCAGGTGACCTGGAATGCTGCAAACTCTGAAAAAGTGACGAATCCCAAAACTTTTTTTTTTACATGTTCCGAACCAAATTATCTCAACAGGGTCTTAAAATTTTACCACGGCATTCTGAATCACCCTGTATATCTGCATGGTAACTTGCAGTTTCAATTTCCGTAAAGCCATTTGCTCGTACATGACATTAAATAACGACACGCAAGATAAGAAGTCATTTCACAACCAATTAAATAACAAACATATTCAATTCAACGAGGATATTGTCCGTAAATGAGGTATCTAGTTGTTAGAAAATCATCCTTTTGAAGCACTGTTATCTACGTAATACTTAAATATTGAGTCCGTACCGCAAAGAAAACACATGGGTTCTCCATTACAAATACCACTTGGCTAATGCTGCTTAAGAAAATAATAGTTGTTTCCTCCGTGAGCAATAATTTAGAATTACTGAACGTTAAAGCAGGTGGTACACATACTTACCAACGTGTTTCAAAAGGTTCAAAATAAACCTAATAAAGACGCAAGGACATGTTCATTTTACCATAGCTGAGAGCGGTAGCTTCGCGTCCCTCTGCAAGGCTGGTTGCCTTCCGTCCGGGCTAAAAGAAAAAAGGTCTCTTTGTTGCTTCTAGGCTCAGGAAATCCGTCCGAGTTATGACAGAGAGAAATTTTATGGCCCGACATAAATGAAACTATGTTGATCTCAGCCAGTACACTTGAGTAAGTCTTCTAAATTTATTAACCTGTCATCCTATTCGTCACACCAGTGACTGCAGGTATAAAAAGAAATTCCTAGTAGAAAATACAGTTGGCATCCCTGAAATGTCTGAAACCTAACCTAACTTCCCTGCGACATTGTTTACGCGGGCCACGGCCTTAACGTGTTCGAAGCTTGTGATACACAGCTTTCAGTTGTTTTATTGGTCGGGGTGGGGTGTGGGGGAAGGGAATACACACAAAAAGTGCCAGAACGCCCGATCTAAACAATGAACAATGAGCGGAACAACTCGGTCGACTTCATTCAAGTGTAGTTCTGTCGTCCCATCACATCACTGACCTAATTGCAAAGCTCAAATGTATTAATCTTTCCCTTCTCGCACAAGCTGGTAGATCTACAGTACCTCAACTCTTTAGAACAAGTGGTAGTTATATATACCACCTTCTTTAACGCTCAATAACACTGCATTTTGCCAAAACTACGAGTTCCGTAAAATTCTCATGAATAAACAGCGATTATTTCCAAAAAAAAAAAACTTAATCTAGCCCAGATGTGATCTGAGGTTCATATGCTGGGTAAGACGTCGATGTTGGAGCCTTAAAGATGGAGGCTGCACGTTCTCCGAAACGTCGGTATCTACATCGACAAACTTAATGAATTCTTAACCTTGGTACTTGACAGATCGGCCTCACGTTTTGACTGCTTTAACTCCGCAGAAAAGGCGTCCTGTTGGCTACACAATAGTTAAAAGTGTGGGTGGGACTCAGATCGGTCTAGATGAGTTGGCGAACAGACAAATCGTACTCCTACGTTCAACAAAACCTGCAAACGTCCACCACGTAGGCAGGGTCTTGTTTCTGAACGATTCATCCCGGATCACCAACTTAATTCTTTCAAATACAGTGGTAACTATATGTACCACCTGCTTTAATATTCAACGACTCTGTCATTCAGATTTTAAAAAAAAAAATTGAGAAATTTCTTGATCAGATGAGAGACTGATTTTTGTCGTGAACGATCACACATGAGTTACATCACTTTCCTTATTTAAAAAAGTGCCTTTGCGTGTAAAGACCATCAATAAACGTTTCAAGAATTCAACTTTCCCAGTTATTCAATTGTTTCAAGATGGCGGAAGATTAATTTTATCGCGTGGTGAAACTCGTGGTTTGGTGGAAACTGATCAAGGAGTTTCATCTACAGACACAGAGACGTTCATTACTCTCTTTCGAAAACGTCTAATTGTTCACTGTCTCGCTCACCTGTGACACATCTCGGAAGCACACCAGCACACACCGACACACCACACATCATGTCACCGCTTTGTTCCAACTGTCACGGTCGAGTCAACCGCGAGACTGGCGTACTAAGGTCTCACGTGAACGACTACGACAACAACGCTACCCAGTGGCCAATACACGCAACTAAAAAAAAAAAGATGAAGACAGAACGGAGGGGTTATTGTTGTTCTTAACAACGTAAAATAAAGGATAAAAAGCAAATTCTTTCTACGTTCCTTCAGTATTTCTCGTCACTGAATATGTTCATAAAAACCAAAATCACAGAAGCCAGCGAGTAAATTGCTTGGGTTTAACTTTTCTATAGAGCTTGGAAACCAATGAAGCTATCATTCTACCCCATAAATGTGCGTAAGGACATTGAAATAAAGCTTTGTGTATTTTATGAGTCTTTTGTAACTTATTACGTAAATGGAATTGAAAAAAAAAATGTTGAGTTCATCTTCAGAATGAACAATGGCAGACTCCAGAAAGAACATTCAAGAGTTATGACGTTCAATGCGTTAATATTAGAATCAGGAAGAGGATAAGGGGTGTGTAAAGACAAGAATAAATTCTTCTTGTAGGGCAGACAATAAGATGACTTCTGTTTTGGATCTAGGTTGAAATGTCAACTGCAGAACTAACCAAACATTCTGTGACAGCCAAGAAACCTCAGTTTAAAAAAAGAAATGCTGTTTCCGGCCTCAAACGAGGGCGCCCCTCTGTCATAACCGGGTCCTCGGATCGAATCCTCCGATGGCCTCTCAGCAAAGACAACAGGAAACGAGTGACCTTCGCCTCACATCCGTATGCAGACCCCACGTTGAGCTGTGGGCGACGAAAGATCGAGACTTGCATTCGGGACGATCCACGTCACTAACCGAAACACAATTTGTCGCCGATCAAAACAAAGAAGGAACGCCACGCAAACGAAATTCTCACAACAAAAACGAAATATTCCCCCCATTCTTCAATTAAAATTCGTCGATAAATGTAACAAATTCCCGATTATCTTAATTCTGATAATTAAATTAAAATTAAATTATTTGGTTATTCCGTCAAATCGCAATGTATTTAAAATAAGATAATTAAAATATCATTCTGTGTTCCATATCGAAT